AATATGGAATATAGAAATATTCTTTCTTATAGCAATTCATTACAGTTGTTAAAAAAACCTGCTTGGGACTGAAATATTTGTTCCTATTATTACAAACATATCTGTTACTTACTAGAGCCAGTTTGGTGTAATGGTTAAGGCCCTCCTTAGGCAGAAGGCCAGCTGACTGACCTTGGGGCAGTCACTCTCAGTTCTAAGAAGAAGGTAATGGCAAACCAATTCTGGAAACAACCTTGCCAGGAAAAGTGCCGGGAACTTTTCTCTAAGAATTGGATCTAATTGAATAGAAGGAGGAAAAATGCCAATCTATATATTTTCAAGGCCAAATTTGCATTCCTAAAAGTTTTCTATCAGTCCATCCAGCAATGGAACTTGATGTAGATGTATCTCCAAGATTAGCCATTTCCCCCCCTCTTCCCCTTGCCTCCTTTACCAACTTGTCTGATAATTTCTTTAAACTAAGAAATGGTAATGATTCGATGTAACTGAAATTAGCCTAATAAATTTACTGTCCCCACAGTCGGTGTGTGGGATGCTCTCAAAGCCGTTGCTAATTTATTGTTATTTTAAGCAAACCTTCAGCTGTAAAGCTCAGTTCTTCTCCCTTTTCAAAAAGATTTGCAACAGGGCTGTGTCAACGGGAGACTGGATGATACTTAGTTTTTATCTTTTATTCTCCTGTATTTGCAGCAAAGGGAAAAGCTTCTGCCAATGTGTCTTCTCCATTAAAAAAAGTAGCGCCTGGACTACACCGACTATATTATAGTTTTATATTTATTAAATAAATTATAGCTTTAGCTTTATTGGGGAGGAGGGTAAAAATGAAAAATCTTGCCAAAAAACAAAAACAAACCAGAAGGGACATGTCCAGACATTCTCTGAGAATAAGACACAATTGAACAGAAAAAAAATAATATTATTTATAAATGAAGATTTCCCCCCCTATATGTTTAAAAAGTAAAATCAATTTCCTTTCTCATTTCGCTTTTTGCTTTGGTAGAAATTGCAACAAAGTTTTTAGAAAAGCAAACTGCATATAAAATTATACAAGGTACCATAAAATATAATGCTTTTATTCTAAATGAATATAGAATAAAAATCAATGTTTAAAACCTAACTTAAAAACTAATTATATCTTGTACCTAAACATATGATTAGCTTTTTGGATAGCAAATAATATTAATTGGATGGTTCAATGCTACCCTAACCATTATGCAAATACATGTTATTATCATGTAGAAGTATTCTATTTGTAAACTCATCGTTAAAAGTATTTTTACTTATTTTCTTGCTTACTTTAGAGAGAATAAGTCACAGTGGAAATAAGAAATGTACATCTTCACTAGCTTTGCAGAATATCTGAATTAATTGACTAGTTCTGTCTTCTGTTGTGGCATAGTGACCACTAGCTGTGACAATTTGCATAAATAGACAAGTTGTCACTCCTATAGTCATAAACTATTTGGATCTGATTAAAAAGTAGAACTCTTATAGCTCTCTTGTTTTTTTTCCAGAAGTTGCAGTGAAATTTGCTGTTATCCTTTAACCAAACAAATGCGCACATGGGAATAAAGATATGCTGAGTTTATGCAGATTTTACAACACGAATCTGAATGAAATGTCCACTAATAGACCCAGATGGAGTAATAAATACACATGAAATTTCCTTAGTTGCACTTTAAAGTAATTTTAACATACTACTAGACCTTAACAATAATATTTAATTGACAAGATTATGCATTTGTATGGACTGAGAAGGTGTTAGATATCTAATTCCAAATGAACCATAAATTTACTTTTGCATAACATGTTTTATTAATTTTATTTTATAGCTGAGCATTCTCTTTTCCTTCCAGTGACTGTTTCTTGAAAGCAAACTTTTAATTTAATTAATCATGTTCTATTTTTGTGCGGCCATGTGCTTTATAATTCAATGTGTAGAAAGAACTCATAAAACAAGCAAACTATTACATTTACACATTGATGCAATGTATAAATAAATATGAAGGTGTTCACTGTATTCATATTTATTTTAAATTTATTGTGAATCAATATGAACATAGTGAACACTACCCATTACATTTATTTTTATATATCCTTTTCAAATTATAGTCAGAATGACCGTCAGGAAGAGCAGACATTAAGGAAAGACAACCTAATTGGACTGAAGAATGAAATTAATTTATTGTTAAATATTCACATAACATACAGTTATAAAATACGTTTTTAACAATCATTATTGATATATGCATCATTCATTATGAATGTTTTTGATTGTAATTAGTTATACAGGATGTTTTCCATGCATATATGACTTGTTCACTGCCTTGTTTCAAACAAATGATAAAGTTAGAAGAACAAAAAAAATAATTTAGGAAAATAAATTATTTCTTTTATTGAATTCTTTTATTCTTTTATTTTATTGAATACTGCCAATACATAATTTCTAAACAAAGTACTCACATAATTATTCATATTGAGTACTAAAATAAACTTAGAAAAATTCTTAATGAACTTCCTTATATAGAGCATATAGAGCATATAATAGGATATAGCCCCTAAAATAAATTATATGTGTGTGTATGTATGTGTGTGTATGTGTGTGTATTGTTGCATTTGTGCTGATAAATAAATAAAGGGAGACTAGTATAGATCTATTTCAAGCTATTTAGCTCTCATTACTGGGAATCGCTTATATACATACATACATACAAACATATATACATACATACATACATACATACATACATACATACATAC